CTGGGGGAGTGAACATGCTTTCTGTGCTCATTGGACTCTTCCCTCTTGGTGAAGTATGATTGTCAAAATCCAGAAGTCTCCGGACATGAGCATGGTAGCCGTGATGAATGCCACAGATATGCAGCAAATAAGATTGCCGTGCAATTTAATGTTCGATTTTGATGCCCTGGTCCTTATTAGAAAAGGTCACAGATTGTCCCGCTCTGATGATTAATGCAAGCTCTTGCATCTTCTTGGGTTATTTCTGCAATATGTATTGTCTGACTGTTTGCTCCTTGTTACACACTCTGCCAATGCTCACTACTCAAAATGAATTTTGATAGGTGTTAAAATGGGGTGTTTCAGCCTCAGATTTTGTAGATTTCCCCCTTTGAAGGGGAGAATTAAATCACTGGGTCCCCAAAAATGCTGAAAGCCTATTTCCATCAAATTGGCCCTAGAGTTTTCTTTAAATTTATGCTGATAACATAATCACTATAATAAACAAGTCCCTCTTCAGAAAGTCCTTAGAAAATGCAAGGCAGAAGTATTTTTTCTCAGAAACTGATTAGTTAAATCATGCCAGACCAATGGTAGTAGCAGTAATCTGTCCTTATTTCTTGTGTGAGGAAAAGCAGCATTCCTTAAGAAATAAATCCTCTTTTGCTTACCTGCTAATGCTAAATATTATATTGCTTGTAATTTTTTTTTGGGGGGGGTAGGAAAATGTTTCAACCACTCACTTTCTGGAGTCAAAGAGAATAACAAGTTTTTATATTCTCCCTCTGTATTCATTCAAAGAAATTATATTGTCCATGCACATTGAAATGCCCTGATATCTAAGCTAGCACAGTGGCTCAGCATGTAAAGGTACGTGCACAGTACCACCTGACAGTGCAGGCCTGGTGACCTGAGTTCAATCCCCAGAACCCATGAAAGGATGGAAGGAGAGGATCAACTCCACAAAGCTATTTTCTGATCTTCACTGATGCACCAACACATGCATTACCCCCCCCCACACACACACACACACTGTACATCATGGGCAGCACAATAATTAACTAAATTTAATTTAAATGTTTCTATCGTTCTTGTTTTTGTTATCCATGGTTCTCATTTCAGTTCCCCATAGTAGGCAATCTAGGACACAGAAAATGCTCAAGTTCTATTTAATATCAATTTAAACTGACATAGCACTCACCCAGCTCAGCAAATCCTTCAGCAACTTTTTACCACTGCCCTTCATCTTTGGAGACTGGGATTTGACATGAAGACAGAATTTTCTAGGTGCTGTTCACCCAGAAGTCTTAGCCCATCATTCAATGAATCTTTTTTCCCTGGCCCTTTCTTTCTCAGACCTACCTCTAGGTTTGCTCTTAAAGGGTTAGATGGCCACTCAGAGTTAGTTACATTTCATGACACTACCAAGTTCAACATTTGGGTTTAGCATTGTTTTGGATTCTGTCACTAAATGTTGATAACAAAGAACTGATCAGCTTGTCAGCAGTGGGTGTGCAGAGTCAATAGAATAGAGAGAGCCCAGAACAAGGAGAAAATGTAGGTGGTAGATTAAGACCTTTATTTATTTTTATTACCCAATCCCTTTTGCCAAATGGATTAAATCTGCTCACTTTGATATGTGAGCATATAAAATTTTACCCAAATTTAGTCAGATCCTAAAAAATAACACATTCTGCCAGTGGTTCTCGACCTGTGGGTTACTACCCTTTTAGTGAACCTCAGCCTCCAAAATATTTATATTACTATTCATAACAGTAGCAAAATTACAGCTATGATGAAACAACAAAAATAATTTTATGGTCGTGGGTCACCACAGCATGAGGAACTGTATAAAGGGTCACAGCATTAGGAAGGTTGAAAACCACTGTTACTCTAGTAACTAGAGTAAATAGTAGCATGGATTTACCCCTTGTTTAAAACCAACCAATGATATTTAAGGCTTCCTTTTCACAATGTATGAAGATTTTTATGAGAAATAATAAGGTGTGAACATGTGCTGCAGTATGGATGAACTTTGAAAACATGGCTGTTTGAAGGAAGCCAGAGAAAGACCACACAAAGAGCACACATTAACTTTGCCAGGAATGGAAGAAGTAGGTCCTAGGGCTTGACTGTTAGTGGACATCGAGTTACTGAGACTGCACTAGATGGAAATGCAGTAGAATTAGACAGTGGTGACAGATATACAACTTTAAGAACCTAATACAACTCACTTTAAAATCGTGTATATTATCAAGGTGAAGTATATGGTAGGTGAATGATAACTCAATTTTAAATGTTCTTGGCTCAGTGCCTGCTCTCCTGGCATCTGGGGTTTTTCTAATATTTCCAAGACAAAGTCTGAAGAGACTAGTTTTGACAACTCAGAACCCTGAAGCAGATGAAGAGCTGGGTATCAAGTTGGGCAAGTATGTGCATACCACTAAAAGATCATAACCTAGCACGTTCAACTGGGTTCTGTGTTTCTTTGTAACATGATTGTATTAAAAAACCCTCTTGGACCTGAAATTTTCACTCATCTACTCATCTTTGCCTTGACAATAGCTTAGTAAGGAGAATAATAGGGAAAGCCAATTTAACAGAATCAGAAAGTACTAGAATAGCATGGCAGAATGCTGGTATTTTGAGTCCTTGTTGTTTTGACTTAGCACTTAGCTTAAGTGGGAGCCATATCACTTCTGAATTTAATATGTCTAGAACTCAGGAATTCACATTTTTTAATATTTGTGGTAATTCTTTAGACTTAGGCTTGACAACTATTAAGAATTTTTTGTAACTTTGTATTTTGTTTGAAATGCCAAATAAAAAGATGAAAATGCTATTTTTTACAAAACTGCCAATGTTGATATTTGTAAGTCATTGTTTGGGGTTTTTAATCACTGACACTGCTCATGAGTAACTAATTAAATTAAGATTTCCATCTTAACAATTCTTTTGTATATTTGAGCACAGCCCAGAAATCCTATAACCATTCACCTGTAATGGTGTTTTTTCTATATAACACTCAACATATATATACATATATACATATATACATATATATATATATATATATATATATATATATAGAGAGAGAGAGAGAGAGAGAGAGAGAGAGAGTTGTAGACCATTATTCTCTGAGTACAATAGCACAGCTGTGACTATTCAAGAGCACCATAAGATTGGGCCTGTTGATCCTCCTTCAGAGAAGGAGGGACTAGAGAAGGACATTGGACCACTCCTTCCTATGTCTCTCAGCCAGCTATAGGTAATTCTGCCCCAACTGCTAGTGGTCTGTGGTCTTGGGAGGTACCACAGTATCTAGAGGCAGGATAACTGAAAAATGGGTTCCATGTACTCAGCTACGGAAAGTCATCATCTATAGTAAGGTGAGCCTTTACAGTGATGCAACTGCCTTGGGGGTCACATGAATTGTAAGTAGTCTCTCGCACATGTTCTGTAAGGCAAATAGTTCACTAAGCTGGACCCTGAGGAAATCATTCCTTCAGTCTGTTGTAGCTAGAGTTTTCCTGCCTGGCCCACAGTCAGGACAAATCTCTGACACCTGCCAGTCCCACAGCCGCTCAGACCCAACAAAGTAAACGCAGAGACTTGTATTGGTTACAAACTGTATGGCCATGGCTTCTTGCTAACTGTTCTTACAGCTTAAATTAATCCATTTCTATAAATCTATACCTTGCCACGTGGCTTGTGGCTTACTGGCATCTTCACATGCTGCTAGTCATGGCGGCGGCTGGCAGTGTCTCTCTGACTCAGCCTTCCACTTCCCAGCTTTATTCTCCTCCTTGTCCCGCCTATACTTCCTGCCTAGCCAATGGCCAATCAGTGATTTATTTATTGACCAATCAGAGCAACACATTTGCCATACAGAACATCCCACAGCAGTCTGTCATTGGTACCCTACCTGAGGTTGAGTAGATATTCATTTATCTCACTGGGAAAAGTTCACACAGCATGGTTTTATAATATCTGTGTGTGTTTGTATGTATGTATATGTGTATATAACATATAATATATATGATATGTAATATATGTTATATATCTCCTAAATAACTGAAGGTTTCTAAAATTTGATCTTCTGTTGTCTTTAACTTCTGAGTCCTCTTATATGCAAAAAGGTTATTTTATTTTGCCTCATATGCCCTATGAGTGCTGAAAATTGTATAGACTAGTTGATCCTTTTTTGTGGTGGTATTGTGTTCCCCAAAATATTGTGCACCCTAATAAACTTATCTGGGGTCAGAGAAAGAACAGCCACTAGATACAAAGGCTAGAAAATGGTGGCACTCACACCTTTAATCCTAGCTTTCCAGAGGTAGAAATCCCTCTGGATCTCTGTGAGTTCAAGGCCACATTGGAAACGGCCAGGCATAGTGACACATGCCTTTAATCCCAGAAAGCCAGCCTTTAATCCCAGGGAGTGGTGGTAGAAAGCAGAAAGGTATATAAGGCATGAGGACCAGAAACTAGAAGCATTTAGCTGGTTAAGCTTCAGGCTTTCGAGCAGCAGTTCAGCTGAGCCATTGGGATGAGGACACAGAAGCTTCCAGTCTGAGGAAACAAGACCAGCTGAGAAGTTGGCCAGGTGAGGTTAGCTGTGGCTTGTTCTGGTTCTCTGATCTTCCAGTTCACCCCAATACCTGGCTCAGGTTTGATTTTATTAATAAGAACTTTTTAAGATTCATGCTGTCAGGGACAAGGACAGAATCTTTAATTAGTGGAAAAATACAGACCCCCATAAGACAGGGAACTAGATCATCTTACAGTCAGGTTGCCTAGCAACAGGACATTGAGTCAGAGCCCTTGACCCTTTCACCCTGTAAACATCCTATACAAACATCCTGTTAGCTTGCCCCACCCTATGCAGATAACAGCTTCTTGCTCCCCCTACCCTGCAGGAACTATACAAACCCTCCTGGAGAAAAATAGTTGCACCTTGATCAGAATATTGTCTTGGTGTATTTCCTTTGTATCTCCTGTCCCTATCTTTCCGTCCTTAGGGTGATCGAGAACCCGTTGAAGCCCTGCTGGCCGGGGCAACTGGCGCCCAACATGGATGAAACCACCTCTTGAGGATTTGGAACGTCGTCTCATGCTACACTTTTTTATTAAATTAAATGATAATAGGACTTGGGGTGTGGATCAACAGTAGAGAGTTTGCCTGACATGCTCCAAGTCCTGAGTTCAATCCTCGGAATTAAAAAAATATAAATGTACATGTAAATAATGTGTTATGATCTCCCTGTAAAGCTTTGCTGAAGTTCAATCACCGTTGCTCTTGTTATGGAATGCACTTTCACACAGAACACACTGCAGCAATGCAGTATTAGGCACTGACTTTGAATGCATAGTATCTCATCCCTTTCTCATTTAGGTAAGTGCAAATGTGCTCAATCTTATACATGAGGGTATTGTTATCTAGTTAGTGGTAATGAGTAGGGTTTGTCATAAGAGTGCAAATTTCTTAAGAATTCATTCAAGTTCACCTCTCCCATGTCTTATGCATGCCTGGTTATTTGAGAAACCACAACTGCAAATGGGTTTGTATTATTTAAGGGGTAGTGACATTTATTTTCCTCCAGGAAGACATTTCCATTTATAACACATGAGATTTTCCCTACAGGTCCTTCCCATTTGGTTGTTTTCATCCCTGCTCCATTGGTCTACTTAGCAAATGACTGCCTCACAAATGGAATGTACATTAGCTCAGCCATTATCAGTCTTTGCTAAGCAGGAGGATTGAGCGGCCTCCACCAGCCTTGTCAGAGGTCTGGGAGCATGTCACTGTGAGAAGACATTTCTTTCTGGAGATTCATATCATGCCTAACTTCTAAACTCCCTAAACATAGTTCCTCATTTCAAGGAGATTACCAGTCTGTAGAAAGCAAGATTTTTTAAAATATAATACTATATATCCCACATCAATGTGGTGAATGCCCAAAAATAGGAGAGGGGGAGAGACAGAAAAAGAAAGTCATTCACTAAAACAAAAGTCAGAAACTGCTCACCCAAGTGTTCTAAGGATATGGAGTTTCCTAGAGAGACAAGGGGATGTTAAAGCAGCCAAAAAGCATTGGGACTGTCAGTCTGGCAGGAAACACCTCACAGGAGAAAGTCAGCTGAACTCACACACATTGATTCATATCAACATTTGAAAACCTCTGCTGTTTTGTGACAAGTTCTCGTGCGGGCCAGGTTGGCCTTAAACTCACTGTGTACTGACAGATAACCTTGAACTTCTGATCTTCCTGCCTCCCAAATGCTAGGGTTACACCGCATCTTACCTGGGTTGTACGCCAGGCTGGGTATTGAACCTAGGGCTTCCTGCACACGAAACTAGCACTCTGCCAGCTGAGCTACGACCCCAGACATTCAGTACCTCTCACTAAGGAGAGGGGCTGTGTAAAGCTGGAGAATGGACTAGGCCAATGAGATATCATGGATAACAAGGCTGCCCAGGTGGCCGTGGCTAGCAAATTATATGGCAGTCTCATTGCACTTCCTGTGTGGCTGGTGAGATGAAAACGCCTTACCCATCGTAGGGCATTTCAGAAACAAAGTCCTAGAGAAAGACCTGAGTTTACACAGGGACAACACAGTATTATGTTTCTGCTCATGAGGTAAGTTCCAGAAATTCAAGCATGCACTCCAATATCACAAGACCCTCCAACACACAAATGCCTGTCGGTAAGGGGTAATGTATCCTCTGCAGGTGTGGGAATGTAATCACCAATCCCCTCTGCAATATCACTGTTGCTTGAGTATAGCATACTCCTCCACTGAGAGGGAAGTGTGTCCACACCATCTAGAGCTAGTCAATACTTGCATATTACCGATGCTTAGGAGTATAGCATACTCCTCCACTGAGAGGAACGTGTGTCCACACCATCTAGAGTTAGTCAATGCTTGTCTAGATTAAGTCAGCCCTTGGCTAAGTATTGTGCCCTGGTGGTAGCTAGCTGGCAAAACTGTTCGGGATTTTATTTTAAATAAGGAGAGGAAAATTATTTATAGTCATTAGAATTTGCATGGCTTTTGTTCAGGAATAAATTATGGACTCTTGATAGGAGCAAACGATTTAAGAGGTTTGTAGACTTAATAAATACTGGCATGGTGTCCCAGTCTTCAGTCTGATTTAGGAACTGCAAAGGCAATCCTGACTCCTTTAGGGATGAAGCTGTGGTTCATTTCGGGTGACCAGTGAAGTGAAGGAGCTCGAACATTCTCCATGTGTCAGTTAACTGATCTTGGCAAGACCAGAGCCTTCTAAAGAGATTTGTTTTGTTTGAAGGAGCGAATATTTGGCTCTACTTCAGTGACATTTTGGAGCAGTCTTCTTAGTTGCTATTGTGACTAAAAATTTCATTCATCACCTGTGCCACCATCTTTGTATAATATGCCATTTTAAAGAGGCTGGGGGATTCCTAATGGGCCCTCTGAGACTCGTACTGTTTAGAGCTCCCTCACCGACCTCTGACATAAAGAGAGCAATGTGAACATCCCACCTCAGAAACCCGGTTCCATCATCTCTCTTCTCTCTGTAGTGAGTGTAGCTTTGATCTCTTCCTTCTACTGGGGTCTCTTTGGCAAACACACTCTGTCACTTCCACATCTTCAAATAGGCTTTTTGAGCAGCACTCCTCCTGACTTCTCCTCCACTCATAGACATGATCCTAGGCAGACACTCTATGTTCACCCCCTGGGCACCTCGTGTCCTAGTCAGCAATAGTACCGACAATGCCTATGATCTCCTCTGTGTGTCTTGCTATGATTTCTTCATGATGCCTCACTGCAGACCACACATTACTTTTAAAATCTCTCATTCCAATTTCTTACCCTCATTTCACCCTTTCTAAAACCCCCGACTGTTGTTTCCCTCTTTTCCTTTTGTGGTTCCACCTTTCCCCTCTATTATCCTTTAAACATTGTTGTCGACTTTCCCATCCTTTTCTCCAGAGCTTCAAAGATGTGCTTTCATCCTGGGAGCTCAGATCTGTATCATCAGGATGGGACCGCCATCTGAGTGTCATACCCATAATGTCCCTTGTTATGCGAGTGCTGCACCCAAGCGTCTCATAATCACTTCAAACTCAGCTTGGTCACAACCGACTTCCCACATTTCTAAGCAGTGGAATACTGCTTAGATCTGATCTAGTTCAACTTTGGGGAATCTCTCTTTTTTAAACCTAGTTTATCTTTTTAAAAATCTTAATGTGAGACATACATATGATGGATATATGTGTGTGTGCATGCTCATATGTGTAAATGTGGGCACATGAACGACATAGTGTTCATTTGGAGACCAAGACAACCTGCAGTCCAGTTGTTTGCCTCTACTTTGGACAGGGTCTTTTTGTTGCTCGAAGCTGTGTAGACCAGGCTATCTTCCTTGTGAGCTTCCCGGTATTCTCCTGCCTCCCATCTCAGCACAGGAACATGTGGGCTCACAGAAGCTTGAAGCCTGTGGAGATATTCTTCCCTATCACTGAGCTTCACCGCATGCTTTAGAAAGAGAAACAAGAGACTTACCTGCCCTAGCTATTAACATGTAGATCCTCCCACAGAAGGAGATCTGCCTTACTCATTTTCACATCTTCAGTACCAAGGCACAAGCATTTGAGAGCTAATTCGCCAGCAGTGCCGTGTAATGAGGTCTCCTTACAGCTTTGGGTTTTTTGCACTAACGGGAAGCATATTAGACCAGAGTCCCTAAGCTTGGTGGAAGACACTCTCTGGTGTAACTGCTTAGTCAAGGATTGCTTTCATTTCTCCAGGAAGCTATCAAAACGCAGCCATGCTGCCACAGCTCACCTCCTCGCAGGCAAGCACATGAACACAATCTCAGGAGAACACAGAAGTGGAGGAAAGTGCCTAAAAGTATGGCTGTGAGGGATCGCTGCAGTTACAGAGGAAACATGGTGGTATGCTCTAGGGAGAAGGAGCAGGTCTGTCTTCCACTTTGATGTTTAACATTCAGTAGGCTAAAAGCATTCTGTCTGTAGTCATGAATAACAGCCTTGAAAAATGTGAAGACATTTTAACATTAAGCCTTACAAATATAAAAATCTCAAAAGAAAAAAAGTGAATTGAAAATGTAAAACTCCTGCAGGACAATCTCATCCCTCCCTCCCCCTGGGAGCCCCTATGGTCTCTCATCGGCCCTGTCTCTTTGGATTTTACTGTTCTAACATGCCTACCACACCTCATGTGTAGAAATCAGAGGACAGCTGGTGGGTGTCAGTTCTCTCCTTCTACCATGCTGGTGTGGAGGACCGAACTCAGATGGCCAGGCTTGGCCGTAAACAGCCTTACATGCTGAGCCTGAATTTGACTGTTCTGGGTCCTTTCTGCAGGTAAATAAGAACAATATCATTCCTTTGGTTATTGCTTTATTTCACTTAGCATAATAACCTCAAGGTCCATCAAAGTTACAGTGTATGTCAGAATTTCCTTCTTTAAGACTTAATATTGTTTTTATGTGTTGTTCTCCTTTTCCCCTTCATTTGTCTGCTCATGGGCACTTGGGTTGTTTTTTATTTTTAGTTACTTTTAATAATGTCCCTCATGCACATGAATTCACAAATGCCTGTTCAATGTAGCTGGAGAGCTTCTCTCCAGGTCCCACCAAGCCCCTGCAGTCCCACAGCCCACTTATAAAATAAACACACAGGCACTTATATTATTTAAACTGTTGGGCCATTAGCTCAGGCCTACCATTAACTAGCTCTTACACTTAACTCAGCCCATTTCTGTTAATCTATATGTCGCCACGTGTTCCGTGGCTTTACCTGTTGTCTTTTCAAGCTGCTCCCTGGACGGCAGGCTGGCGTCTCCCTGACTCCACCTTCCTGTTTCCCCAATTCTACTCTCTGTTAGTCCTGCCTATACTTCCTGCCTGGCTACTGGCCAATCAGCATTTTATTTGTCAATAAATCATCCACAGCAGTTCAAAGCTCTTATTTCCATTCTTCTGTGCAGATATCTGAAAATGGGATCACTAGATCACATGGAAGTTGTGTTTTTATTTTATTGAGGTACCACCAAACATATACTACAAGGTGATATCACTTTATGTTCCCATCAGGTACCCACAACCCCCGCCCCCAGTGTCTTCACTGATGCTAAATACTGTTTGTCTTGTAGTAAAGTTTAATTTCCTTGTGGTCTTAATTTATTTTTCCCTAAAGATGAATAATGTTAAGTATGTTTTCACAGGCTTTTTGTCCATGTGCTGGTCTTCCTTAGAGAAATGACTATGCAAGCCTTTCATCAGTTTTAGTTGGCAGGTTGTTATTATTGTGAACTGTCCTTTGTGTGTGACATAAAATATTCATTTTAAAATTATTTCTCCACTGAATTATACTTTTGTTTGTATTACATGGGTCACAACAAGCTGTAAGGAAGAGCTGGTGAATTAGCCTATCTCAGTAGGCCATGCACCTAGTTTATATGTAGGGATTCTATTATTCTGGCAAAATGTGAGAATGGGTCATGGTTAGTGTGTAGCCAAGTCATATGTGCCCAAAACTTATATCTCACGGTTTCCATCAAAAAGCCTTTGTCCATAAGCAGAACTACCCGCTGAGAGAGGGAAATGGCATATGGCTTATGAATGGTATTTTAGATAGACAACCTTCCTGGTTTTGATATTAGCTTGTTAGAATATTACAAAGCACAATAATATGGAAATTCATATTTTTTACAATATTTCATGGATATATAAGCACCTGACTTAGAGCTCTTCTACATGGGCCAGGCAGTTTGTTTAGTATTTCTACTAGGTCAATACATAACTGGTTTTTCCTTTATATTCCAGTTTATTTTTGTGGTACTGGGCATCAAACCTAGGGACCCTTTCTCCATGTTAAGCAAGTGTTCTACTACTGAACTATATCCAAAGCTCATGTTTTTGTGAGTTTTATTCAGTTATTTTCATCTGAATCCTTAAACATTCAAAACTCTTGTTAATGATGTCATAGCTCCAAAGAACTTAGCAAGGTAGTATTAATAGTTTTAGAAAATTATTTCCCTCATATGTCTATGGCATCCACATTCCAATGATAAGTCCACCTGTGTCAGGATTTAATGTATTTTTTAAAAAAGTAGGGCAATGGTGGCACACACCTTTAATCGCAGCACTGGGGAGGTAAAGACAGGTGGATCTCTGAGTTCAAGGCCAGCCTAATCTACAGACTGAGTTACAGGGCAGCCAGGGCTACACAGAGAAACCCTGTCTGAAACACCATGCCACCATCGTAGTTAGGGTTTTTATTGCTATGAAGAGACATCATGACCATGGCAACTCTTAAAAGGGAAAACATTTAATTGGGTGGCTTACAGTTTATGGTGTGACATGGTGGCATGCAGGCAGACATGGTGCTGGAGATAGGAGATGGAGCTGGGATTCCTATATCTTGACTTGTAGGCGACAGGAAGTCGTCTGTCTCACTGGGCATGGCATATTTGAGACCTCAAAGGCCACCTCTACAGTGACACACTTCCTCCAGCAAGACCACACTGCCTCCAATAAGGCCACACCTCCTAATAGTGCCACTTCCTTTGGGGGGCATTTTCTTCTAAATCAACACACACACACACACACACACACACACACACACACACACACACACACACACATACACACATCCAAAAAATGGCATAAAGGCTGAGGTGGCTCAGCAGTCAAGCCTCATTTATCTAAGTTTAATCCTTAGAACTCATATAGTGGAAGAGAGACCTGACTCCTGACAGTTGTCCTCTGCCCCTCATGGTGTGTGTATACACACATGGCAAATGCACAGGTATTTAAAATAATGACATAATATATATATTTTTGGAATACGAGTATTGATCAGGCCTCAAAAGAAAAGAAGACATTACTCAATAATTGAAAGCATCAAAGCACTTATCAATAAGCACCCATAATATGTATTATTATTTGTTATTGTATTTTGTTCCATAAAGCAAATTCAGAGTTTACTAAGAAGAGGCTTCATTACAGATTTAAGTATAAGTAACTGAAGCAAGACACACACACAAAAGAAAAGGGCAGTTTCACATACCCATGAGCAGTTAGTGTGAGTAAGCATCTCATGAATCACTTATTATTGTTTAGAAAGACTTTGTACATTTCAAGTTGCTTTTTTTTAAAATGATCTCTAGGCTGTCACTGAAGGAGTTAAGATACCTACAAAAAATGCCATATGGGAACAGTAAAAACTCTGAGGGGGCTACAATCTCTAGAACTATAGATGAATAGAGCCAGCAGCATCCTTTCTCTTATACCTGTTGCCATAGAGACATCACACGCTGTTGTGATCCAAGGGGTCAAGGGTCTTGTGAACTGATGAACCACGGTGGAGAGTGGCTGACACAAAAGCAGCATGCATTCAAATGAGGAGGTTTAAAATACAAAGCCATGGATTTTATGCATTTCTGTATAGTTTAAAATATTTGAATTGCAAGTTAAAAATGTTGATCGTTCGAGTATCTACCTTTGAAGACTTACTCTTTTTACAAATCTGAACATTTGCAGAAAAGCACACATGAGAAGCTTTACAGTCCATTTACCACAGAGGAATTAGGTCAATTATCAACACCAGCATCATATTTTATAAAATAAATAAATAATTTAAACCAGCTGAAACAGATAAGCCATCCTGGAATAGAAAGCGTGGTGGCAGAGAACCCTTGATTCGCTGGCACCATGAAGACAGGCGAGCATCTGCACAGATTGATTCTGGATAGTTGTGACGCCAGCACTCACACTCACACCAGAGCTTGCAGGGAAGCCAGACTTCACACCTCCACCCTCAGTGTTCTAACATAAGGAAGAAAATCTGAAGTCATGGCATCCAAAAGGGACTTTCTGGAGATAGACAGGATGTTGGATCCTGCAGTATCCAATAGCAGCCAGGTGCTTAGGCCTAATGCTTTGTGTGTTTATGAAAGAAAATGCCGTTCCATGTTCTTAAACAAGTACTAAAAAGGTAACAATAGGCAAGAGAGATAATCCTTGGCCCCATGGATAAACAAAGCCTGGCAAGCCCAGAGACTCATGTTTTACTGGAAACACTCTTTGAAATGGTACCACAATGTCTCAAAAGAAAAGACTATTGAAAGAAGAATCTGTGACTTCATGGTGTGGCCATTTGTCTCCCCTAAGACATCATAGAACTCCAAATGACAATGTTGCGAACCAAGGACCAGAGACCTCTGCTGGAGGCATCACCAGCCTATTCTTTACTTTCTCCAAATGCCTTCTAAATCTTCTAAATAAGATGCTTGGGAATCCTTGGCAAAGACACACAAACCAGCATCACTACCAAAAGCCACGTTCCATTAGTGCATTGATATAGTTCTCAATTAACCACAGAAGAGAGAAAAAAAAAAAACATTTGAACATACCCTGATCTCCAACAGGTACATTTTATTTGAAAAGAAAGTCATAACAATATGGAGAACTGGGAACCAGGAGATACAGCTTTAGTCAACGAAGTGCTTGCCACTTGTCACCAAAGCATGAAGACTGAGTTCAGATCACTGGAAGACATGTAAAAAGCCAGGTGTACCACCTCAGTTATCTCACTGCTGCGGAAGCAGAAGCAGGAGAGTCCCTGGGGCTCACTCGTCATTTTGTCTAGCCAATCACAGAGCTCCATGTTACTGAGAGACTATGTCTCAAAAAAAAATAGAGATTGACAGAGGACTACACCTTATATGGATCTTTGGTCTCCACATGCACGCACCTGCTCAACCTATTCAAGCACCAGCACACGTATACCTGCGTACTACACAGAAAGAGCTAGAGAGACAGAGACAAAAACAGACAGAGGCAGAGAGAGGGGTGTTTTCTTTCATCACCCAAACATAACAATTGGGTATCTTAATGCAATGTCTTGCCATCGAAGCAAGCACCTGAGCCCCCAGATAAGACGAAACACACCATCTCTGGAGGCATCAGCTCAGGACTCCTTTTCAAAGCAACAATTTATGAATGACTGATGTGGACACTCAGAATTTCTTAATGTAAACACAATAGTCGCTGTTTACGGAGTTTTCAGATTTGCTCTACAAGTCATTTCCATAAATGTGTGGGCTTATTAATCCAAGTAAACTGTCCTTGGTATAAAGACAATAAGATCTCTACCAGACATCCAATATTTCAATGCCAATAAAGCCACACTTTGGAGAATGCCTTCTTCAAAAACACTGATTTTCATCTCTTGATTTAGTCATTCATTCGTTAGTTTTGATTCTGAGTGTATAATATCTCTTATTACTGTAAGGTATGTTTCACACCACTTAGAGAAAGGTCTCAATAACCATTTCTCTTCATCATCTTTGGGGCTTCTATTATGATTAGTGTACAGCAGCCACAAAAAATGGACATTCATTGTCTTCATTCCAAGGACCTATGATACATTCAGTGTTAGGATAGGGAACACTAACTATATTTTAGAAATGGGATTATAAAAGATAAATTGTTATTAACTAAGAAAAGGTTAACTTTAAGCTGAATGGTATTAAGAAGATGGCTCCACAGGTAAAGGCTCTTGCTGTGCCAGCCTGGAGACTTGCATGGATCCCCAGAATCCATGTAAAAGTAGAAGAGAACGGATTCATAAAGTTGTCCTTTGACCAACACACACACACACACACACACACACACACACACACACACACACGGGGTGGGAGAGATAGACAGACAGACAGACAGACAGAGACAGAGAGAAAGAACAAATAAATAATTTAAAATTTTTCTACATGTTTATCACCTTCCATAAAAATATGAACTCTAAATTCAAGAATGTTCTTTGCCATTATGTAAAGCTGTATATGTGGAGAAAGCTCTTTGGGCAATTTTGCTTTCCTAAGTGAGATCAGAGACATTCACTATGAAACATCTTCTCATTCCGAACCGTAGTGCTCAGTTCTTGTACTCTCAAAACATGAAGAAGATCCACTTTCTTCCTTCTGTCCCTCAATGACTTATTTTAGATTCTTGTCTTTGTTTTCTTTAAGTCTTTGTTTTCCAACATGAGCAAGACTACCTATTTAATCAGGAATATAAGCATATTTTCATTTTCTGAGATTACGTAGTCACAAATTCCTGGTTGGCATTTTGTGGTACAGTCTAGGAGGATGAACAGGAAAATATTATTACTTAAAATCTGGGTCCCAAGTACTGAACTATTAAACAATTCTGCAAAATTATATCATGTTTATTAACATGTTAATGTTTTTATGATATACTCTATAATAAAAATTTAATACAAATATATGTTGAAATATACCAAAATAATCCAACATGACATCACATATCATCATTCATATGTGATCATTGTTACTATAAAAATTGGATTTATGCAAAAAATTTATGTAAAGAAAGTAGTAAATTTTGTGGTTACCTAAAATGTACGGAAGTTTTGTTGCTCTCTGCACATAGTAAAATGGGTTAACCTACTGACAAATGTTTTCCACAGTGAAGGAAGCCTGAGACTCTTGTTGCTTGAGAATATTGGTTAATCATCTTATAAGTAAAGGAGAGTATAAATAATTTTAATTCTGTAGTACTTTTAATGAGAAAGTTTTAATAAATTAAATGGCATCACAAGACTGGGTTTTTGTATTTTTAATTTTTTTTTTTGAGACAGGGTCTCTTTCTATGTAGTCATGGCTGTCCTGGAACTCATTATTTAATCAGGCTTGGTTTCAAACATACAGAGATCTGCAAGCTCCTGCCTCCTGAGTGCTAGGATTAAAGGCATGTGCCATCATGCTCAACAAGACTGGATATTTTTTGCTTTCAAACATAAATTTCTTTAGCTGGAATATCAAATTATAACCATGTTTACATTTCTTGGTTTTGGCATATTCATCAGATTCTGTTATATAATTTTGAGTGCTCAGTAACCAATATTAAATTAACCACATTTATATAACAGACAAGAAAAATAGAAATCAATTTTTATTAGTTATTCATTAGAATTACCTAGCAAGAAAAAATTTCAAATGATCACACACAGATAAAAAACACCCAGCCTGGAAAGCAATTTCTTGAAGTGTCCTGAAGTCATGTGCAATTTTCAACTTCTTGATACATCAAGAGAACATATGCACATGCATCCATTTTGGCATTTATGGGACAAAAGTCCCTTAAATGTAAAATTTCATTGGCTGCTCAAATGGGAAAGTCACTTTGGTTTTGCTTAAAATTTTACACATCCTCTCACTGACATTTAAGATCAGTAATTGGCTGTGAAGTGCTCAGTGATGCTTTTAAATAAACTGTGGTATATATGTATGTATACATATATAATATATATTACATAATATATTGTTTATGCATATGATATATATGCATCACATATATTTTTATATGTCATCATTAAACTATATTGCTACTTCCCCACTGACTCATCCTAACCTTGGCATTGTAGTGTATGTATAAATTAACCATTGAAAGTGACCGTCTCTTTCTTTCTTAAAGATTTCTGAGGGGCTGGAGAGATGGGTCAGCAGTCAAGAACACTTGTTCTGGTAGAGGATCCACTTTTAGCCGCCAGTACCCATGTGTTGGCTTATAATAGTCCATAACTCCACTTTAGGGGATCCAATGCCCTCTTCTGACCTCTGCAGACATCAAGCACACATATGGTGTACAGGCACAAATGCAGGCAAAATATTCATGCACATAAAATAAGAGATAAATCTAAAATTGAATTAAACTAAGCCCAGTTCCTCCCAAACAAAAAGACTTGAAGATAATAAAATGAATATCAAGCATCTTCATGAGGCCCTAAGTTCAAATCCCCAGAATCCATGTAAAGCTGGACATGATATTTTGTATCTGTTATCTTAGTGCTTCTACAGTGAGATGGTGCTGTGGGATATTCTGTATGTTGTGCATCTATGTTGCTCTGACTGGTTGATAAATAAAATGCTGATTGGCCAGTAGCCAGGCAGGAAGTATAGGCAGGATAAGCAGACAAGGATAATTCTGGAAAGAGGAAGGCTGGGTGAGGAGATGCCAGCCCACAGACCAGAGGGCAACATGTAATGGCATACAGGTAAAGTCTTGGAAAACATGGCGACATATAGATTAACAGAAATGGGCTGAGTTTAAGTGTAAGAGCTAGTCAGTAAGTAGTAAGCTTGAGCTAATGGCCAAGCAATTTTAATTAATATATGCCTCTGTATATTTACTTGGGTCTGAGCAGCTGCAGAATAGGCAGGACACAGGAAAACTTTCAGCTACAAATGGCACCCATACATGGTGGTAAGAGTTTCCACCTAAAACCTGAGAGAGAGCGCTTAAGAAGAGATTATAAATTTTATAAATTATAAAAAGAGCACCTTCCTAGTTCATGTTGCTCATGGCAGGCCTAGGTACAATGATGTGTCCCCTGGCTATGGCAGGTTCATGGCATGTGGGTTGGAACTACAGCATGGTGGGTTCCTACCAAGTTACACAGAGGTTTCTACAAGCCATGCAACATGGTGCATGGTGGATAAAAAGATTTCAGGGCTATATGCAGCTGGATGGAA